AACCTGACCTTTGTAGTTTGGAAGTAAACCATTTCAGGAAGTCTCATGCAAACCTATGCAGCTATCTCATGCTATCTAGAGTTGAGCCAAAGTTCATGCTGTGAAGTTAGCTTAGGATTGCCATAGGGTTACCCGGACATATACGGAATACTGCAGCTGACAGCAGTGACCGGGCGTAAAATCGGACAAATGTCCAGGGAAATCTGGGTGTATGGCAGCCTATGTTGGGAGTGCCGTTTTTGCCATTTCCACCCCCCAATAAAAGACAAAACAGCCGTTTTTTGTTTTTTCTTTTTCTTTTCTTTTCTTTTTTTTTGCATTTTTGCTCAAAAAGCTCAACAACCTTTGGCAAAACTGAAGAAGCTGCCATAGCATTTGAACACAACCCAGCAGTTCAAAAGCATGTCAAAGTGCAAGCAGATAAATACCGTATTTTTCACCCTATAGGACGCACTTTTTCCCCTCCAAAAATGAAGGGGAAATGTGTGTGCGTCCTATTGGGCGAATACAGGCTTTCGCTGAAGCCTGGAGAGCGAGAGGGGTCGGTGCGCACCGACCCCTCTCGCACTCCAGGCTTCAGGAAGCTATGCGCAACCCTCGGGAGTCCAGTGGGAAGCCGCGCTGGGCTCCGGAAGGTTGCGCAGAGCTGCCTGCGCTCCCGGCCTCCGCGCAGCACTGCACAACCCTCAGGAGCCCGGCACCAAGCCGTGCCAGGCTCCAGAGGGTTGTGCAGACCTGCCTGCCCTCCCGGGCTTCCCGCAGCTCTGCGCAACCCTAGGGAGCCCAGCGGGGAGCCGCGCCAGGCTCCCAAAGGTTGCGCAGAGCTGCCTGCATTCCGAAGCCTCGGGCGCGCTTAAGAGAACCAGCGCGGCTCCCTAGGCTTGCGGATAGCAGGCTGTTCTGGGGGCTGGGGTCGGGGGAAGCTCGGGCTTCCCCTGCGCCAGCCCCATGCCTGGGGGGGGGAATAATTTTTTTTCTTTATTTCCCCCCCCCAAAAAAAACCCCAAGGTGCATCCTATAGGGCGGTGCGTCCTATGGGGCGAAAAATGCGGTAGATACTGCTCCGGCGGGAAGTTAAACGGCGTTTCCGTGCACTGCTCTGGTTCGCCAGAAGCGGCTTAGTCATGCTGGGCACATGACCCGGAAGCTGTACGCTGGCTCCCTCGGCCAATAAAGCGAGATGAGCGCAGCAAACCCCAGTCGGTCATAACTGGACCTAATGGTCCGGGGTCCCTTTACCTTTCCCTAAGATAGAGGGAAGGTTACTCAAACAAAACTATTTATACTATATCTGCTCCTAAATCATTTCCTCAAGCTTTTTTATAATGTACATTACAGCGGTACCTTGGTTGTCGAACAGCTTGGCTCCCAAACCAATTGGCTCACAAACACCACAAACCCGGAAGTGTTCCAGTTTGCGAACATTTTTTGGATGCCAAACTTCCGACAGGGCTTCCGTGGCTTCCAATGGCAGATAGGAAGCTCCTGCAGCCAATTGAAAGCCGTACCTTGGTTTTCAAATGGTTCCTGGAGTCAAACAGACTCCCGGAATGAATTACTCTCTCTCTCTCTCTCTCTCTCTCTCTCTCTCTCTCTCTCTCTCACACACACACACACACACACACACAGACACAGTGAAACAGTGATTGCTTAACTGCTTTAAACAATCAAGGTCAAGTATGAAGGAATTAGCAGTATAAGAACATCTTCAGAGTTGCCTTATTAGTCTTTCTGCAGCAAAAACAATACATTATTATTTTGGCAACTTAAAGACTATCAAATGTATTGTGTTATTGTGAACCACACAACACTTTAAAAGATGCCTGCAGCGTTCTATAGTGGGATTGTAGAGAGGTAGATCAGGGTGATAAGAAATGCAGGTAAGTGCATTGTTACAGTAACTCCCTCTAACAATTACATTAACTGGGAGAGGGTCTCCATGGCAACACTGCCTATGAATTGCCCATTGTGACTCTGCTTTTAAATAAGGCATTGACTTCACTGTCTACTTTATACTCCCACAGGTTGCGAATAAAATAAGAAACCAGTTCAATGGCTCCTAAAAAGCCACCAGGTAAGTCCCTTCGGTTACTATTTTCTCTTCACAGGAACACAGAGATCTGCTGACTTGATATGTTCCCTCCAGTACATTATACTGTAGACAATTGACAGAGCTGAGATATTTCGGGCTGTTGCTCGATGTTTATTTTTATGTTGATCATATCTCATCTCATCTCATCATATAACATTACTATGTTCATGCTGTCTTTATATAGATAAGCCGGAGAAAGCTGAACCACCCGCAGGAGACAAGGCCGCAAAAGCACCAGGTCTGTATGCTCATTAGCACATGGAGGAGGAAGGAACAGTAAAGGAAAGTTATGATGGGGAAGACCAGAGTTAGGACAAGCATTTTCTATAGGTCCAGGGCATCCACCAAGTCCAACTGAGGAGCAATGAACTTGAGCTTGTGTCCACCATCTGCTGCTGGCAGTGAACAGCCCCAGCTTGAAATGAAAGCTCTCCTTGATGGGCCCTCGCCCTCACTACAACCCATCCACTGCTGCAGCCCCTTCCACTTACTAGATGGAGGGCAGCTAGATGGAACTCCACAACCCCAATCTTCCCATGAGTATGCTGTGTCCAATCTACTCTGCTAGTTGAGGATCAACTTCTCGATGTGAAGTCTCATCTCAGCTCTACCTTTCACTATAAGAACATTATGCTTAGTGGGCAGAGTGGGACACTTAATCTCAGGGTCATGTGTTTGAGTCCCACATTGGGGAAAGATTCATGCATTGCAGGGGTTGGACTAGATGACCCTCGTAGTCCCTTCCACCTTCATCTATTATTCTATGAGAATATAGCAAGAGCTTGCTGGGTCAGACCAAGGTACGTCTGGTCCCGGGTGATGTCTCTTCATGCTCCTGAGGCCTCCAGACAGGGAACACTGGCAGAAAAGTATCTTCAAGAAGCAATACTTCCATGCCAGATTCCTTCATCCACTTTACCTTCCAAGGGTCTGGCCCCCTGGCATTTCACAGTGGAGCAACCCCCCACCATGGGTTTAGGAAGCTGACTGCCATATGTTGATCTAGATGGGTTGCCAGAGATTATGGGAAATTTCTTGACTGGGGTGGCACTGGCATGTTGTCTGTTGATGGCTAAAGCAGAATTTTCTCTCTTCCTGTCCATCAAGGAGAACTAACACCTTTGCAGGAAAAAGTGAAAAAGTTCTTCGAATCTTCATATTCCCTGTATGTTGGCGTAGTGCTTGTGATGGGCTCCGTTATAGGGGCAATAATGCTGACCTATCTGTGTAAGTTCCAGTCTTCTAGGAAAATATAAAAGGGTAATGGGCAGAATTACAATTCTCTCTTGCTTGCTTCATTTCAGTGGAGACCTTTAAAGGAAAGGATAGGTTCTGGTCTCCACTAAGCCCTTTCACCCCCTGATTTCAGTTGGTGAGATAAATATTTAATGTACTCTCTCCCATTGAAACCAGTGGCACCGTAGGGTTGTCCCTGAAGAAATGCTCAGAGACTTTTAACTGGTTTGTTAAAAAAAGGCAAAGGACTCCAGACAGTTAAGTCCAGTCACATACGACTCTGGGCTTGTGGCGCTCATCCCACTTTACTGGCTGAGGCAGCTGACATTTGTCCACAGACAGTTTTTCTGGGTCATGTGGCCAGCATGATTAAGCCGCTTCTGGCAAAAGCAGAGCAGCACACGGAAACACCGTTTACCTTCCTGCTGCAGTTGTACCTATTTATCGACTTGCACTGCATGCTTTCAAACTGCTAGGCTGGCGGGCACTTGGACTGAGCAATCGGAGCACACCCCATCACGGGGATTCGAACCAGCGACCTTCCAATCAGCAGGCCCTAGGCTCAGTGGCTTAGACCCCAGCACCAGCCGTTTCCCAACTGGTTCTTCTGGGAGTTCTTCTGGAATGTGCCTTGCTCCTTTGTACTCAGGCGATTAACCCCTTCCTTGGATGAGCACACTGCAATCTCTACCATCTGTTGCGGCCTAGGGTCCTCAAATCGTAGAAGTACCCAAAGCAGCTACACTACCTCACGGATGAAGCAGGTTGGGGGCCAGACTGTTAATCTTGGGAGCCTGTAGAAAACCTTCCTAATGTTCATGGCCCAGCGTAAATATGTGCGTTCAGCTGTTCCTTTCTTGACAAATCTGGACTGTGAGAGTGGGGTAGACCCAACCCTGGTCAGCCAAGCCAAGCCCACCTGGCGGCAGCTATCCTGCTACTGAAAGAGACTCAGTCAGGGGGAGGCAGGGGCGTTCCGGGGTGGGGGCTGCACTGGGTGTCATTCCAAAAGGGGGGGCAAAATGCCGACCCCCAATCAGCAGTGACTCCCGGGGCGCGCCCTACTCACTGTGCACCGACCCCAGCGATATGCATCCCCCCAGGAAGCATGCCACCCCTACGGCCGCATTCCATGCCCCCGGGACGCGTGCCATGACCTCCGGGGCACACACCACATCGCCCGTGGGTGGCACACCACACCCCCTGGGACGAGTGCTGCTCCAAGTACCAGAGCAGGTTGCTTCACCTCTGGGGAAGGAGAGCTTCCCAAGGCTGAAATGCTTTCTTCAACTCCCAAGGGTATCGAGAGGCTGGAGTACCCACAGACATCATGGAGAACACTTCTGCCAAGTGTCAGGTGGAGGGAGGAGGGGATTCTAGGTCTCGATCTCCTTGTCAAGATGAGGTAGCCATCATGTCCCTCTCCTGTAAGGGCCCGGTACCTTTGCAATTCAGAATACACACACACACACTCATTCCTATATCTATCTATCTATCTATCTATCTATCTATCTATCTATCTATGAAGATATTGGGCTAAGGACTCTAAATTAGATCTTGAGGCTTGAAAATGGACCTTCCTAGAGGAGAAATTCTTCCTTTACGAATTTTGGGAAGTGCATTACATATTGGAACTTATACGACAGAAGTCTCATTCCAAATGCAACTTAATCCCTTCCAAAGGGGTGCTGGGGGAAGCAAAGCTATTCTCCCACATGCGTTGAACAACTTTCCCCATCATCACCTTTAGATGTTAAGGAAGTGCAAAGGAGAGCCATATTTGAAGAAGGAACGACAAAGATTCTGCAAATGGTAGAAGACACCTTTCCGGATCTTTTTGAGGCAGATGGTAAGTCATATGTTACTTTTTGTCTGCGCAGGAGCTCCTTCCACAGCCCACCATTTCTTCTCATTACTCAGTTCAGGGAAGTCGAACAGGAATGGGTGGGTTGCCTCATGCTCATTCTATTCTGAACTCCTCCATAACGATGGTGTGTGTGTGTGTGTGTGTGTGTGTGTGTGTGTGTGTGCCGTGTTGGTGGGAAAATATATTGATATAAGAAAGAAAATTCCTGAATTCCAAGATCCAAGTTTGGGGCAAGTACCCATTGGTGAGAGAACCCAGCAGAGATTTACACTCACAAAATATGCAGCAAATGTCAGCATGAAAGTATAGGCTGCTAGACCTTTAAAATAGGCTCTTCCAAGTGAGTTCCAAAGTTTCCCTCTTCCCCAGCAAACAAGAACACACACTTGGTAAGTTAAAGAATGATTTGCTTACAAACTCTTCAAAGGTCAGAGCCAGGTGCTTCAGAAAAGGTGCACGGCAGGAAAACTTAGCTTAGCAACAATGTGGAGGAATATCCTAGAGTATTGGTACAGGAACTCAAGAGTGGCTCATGAGGAGCATGTGGCTGAGCTTGAGCAACCAGATCAAACCTCATCACATACTGAGCTTCTCAAGTAGCCTGGGGAAAAACAATAGACTTGATTACCTATTTCTTCCCAATGTAGCTGAGTCTAGCAGGGCAGCATACTCTATGGCTTGAACACCTTAATGCATTATTTAGAGTTAAGCATGTTGGTTATACGAGGCTGATTAACCTACATTTTGGAGTTGCAGAGTTGGAAGGGATCACAAGGGTCTTCTAGCTCAACCCCATGCAGTGCAATAATCTTTCACCCAATGGGGGGTTCAAATCCACAACCCTGAGATTAAGAGTCTCATGCTCTACTGACTGAGCTATCCAGAAGCTCCAGGAAAGGACTGCAGCTGAGTGGACGTGCAAATGCCATTGTTGTTGTTGTTGTGTTAAAAAAGGCCCCGGGTTCAATTTTCAGCATCTCCAGGCAGAGGTGGGAATGACCTCTTTCAGAAGTCCTGCAGAGCCATTGCTAGTCAGCATAGACAATTCTCATCTAGATTAATGAATGGTCTGATTCTGTATAAGGCAACTTCCTAGGTTCCTATATATGAAAAGTAAATATTAGATTTTGAGAAACATGGCTGTTCAGTATCTTTACATGGCTGTTTGAGATTCCTCCCGACTTCAATTGTTGCCACTCTCTTAGATATCACAAAATTCAAGAAAGCTGAGAATATATCTGCAGCAATATCCGAAGAGAAAAAGAAAATCAGTGAACTACAGCAGGCTATTAGTAAGTTACTCAGAAACCACTTTTATCGGTCAAGGTCAAGGTGCCAGAACCTTTGAGGCAATAGGCGATTTCAGAGCCATTGGGATGGACTTCTCTTTTCCATTACAGGCTAGAATGGCACAATTCTGGTGCCAATCCTGTTTTGAAATATCAGTCAGATTAGCACAGCTGGAAACAGAGAATGGGTAGCTCTCTTCAGGTTTTTCAAGTGAGCACATGCGCAGAGGGCTGTAGGGATGAGCATACTAGCTCTGGCCCACTAGGGCTCTTCCCTGTGAAATTGCAGGGTGACGGCCTCAAGCTGTGAACCAGCAACATAGGGAAGGTCACAAGTTCTCTGTGTACTATGTACAAGTTCTCTACCAGGTACAGGATTTTAAATAGTATGGACACAGTCAAAAGGCCATGTTGTTGAGCCTATGAGAGCAACAGCTCCATTACAGTGGAAACCTAGCCAGATGGGCGGGGTATAAATATTTTATATTATTATTATTATTATTATTATTATTATTATTATTATTATGGATGTCTGGTTAATCCCATAGTACTTTTAGGAACAAGCTGGTGCATTAGCATGTCTGTTGAGGCACTTGTCCTGAGGGCCAAATACTGAACTTGACTCATGACTCAATGACCAGTCCCCACATGTCCTCCTTTCCATGCTAAGGGAATTCATCCTGAGCCTGTGAAGTAAGAAAAAAGTATTTTCTTTCCCATTACATCAGTAGTACTGCTTTTGTTTCCTATATTTTCTTTCCCACTGTTCAAATGGTGGGTCGTTCTAGGTTATTTGGTATATACTCTGCACTCAAAAACAGTTCTGAAACTGTCTAGAAGGAATTGGCTACAGCAAGGTCGCATTTCACAGGAGACCTGGTGGAGCTCCCTTGCACCTTTCAGTCTGTGTCTGGTACTTTGGGCTGTTGACCCAAATCTGTTAGAAAGCTGGCTAGTGAATTTTTAATGGGCGCAAAAAGAAAAAGAGGAAGGACATGAATGGTACTTCTCAGACCAAATAAGCTATGCGCAGATCCCTGAGCAAAGAAGTTATATGCTGACAAGGCCTCACTCCTGTCAGCAATCATGCTGCAGCATTCAGCACCAACTGCAGGTCAAGCACGAGGGAAGCCTCAAATAGAGCATTCTGCATTAATCCAGTCTTGAACTGAGCAAAGTATGAACTGTTGTGGCAAGGAATCATGGTTCAGGAATGACCAGACCTGTTGAACCAGCTGCAGCTGGTAAAAGCCACTTCTAGCCATTGGGGCATCTACCATGGCCCTCTCCTCTACCTTCCCCCAAAAGGGAACATTGGCAATGGCCCATAGCTGTTCTAATCCAAAGGGGCCAGAGCTGCTTTCTTTAGGAGTGGTCACACCACTGCTTCTTTCAATGCAGCAGGGACCACCCCCTCATGCAGCAAAGCATTAACCACAATCTGGACCCAACCAGTCAGCCCCCTCTGATAGATTTGCTAAGCCAGGAGGGATTGGAGTTGAGGGGCCATGGGGTTGGATGCATTGCTGCCAGTACCTTCTCCACATCAGCTAATTGCATAAGGTGAAATTGATCCCACTAAACATCCTCTATAGAGCCACTGGCTTCTTCAACTGGAGATGCAACATTTGGAGAAACAAATGAGCAACTTTATCCTTTAAGTGCGTAGCCAGCGGGTCCTAGTGGGTCTTTGAGGACAATGCTAGATTTTTTTCAGTGAGGGTGGTTCCCCCACCCAAGGTGCTCCCAAGGTTCCCCCTAATATCAGTGTTTTAAACTCTGCAGAGTTCCTACAAGCTGGCTTCTACTACAACCTCACTTGTCCTGTCTCTCATTTTATTCCTCTCACATTCTGGGCATTGCTCAAAGGTGACATTCACCACAGGTTACGTGAGGAATGGATTGTTTGGCATGGAGCCCTATATATATTTGACTTCATTGCCACCCCAAGGACTTGGAAACAGTGCATACAATACTGCGAAAGGATGAAATACGATACAAGATTGTTATGTGTTGAAAGTGATGAGGAGCAGGTGAGCAGATCATGCAACAAATTCTTCAGGGACAATGGAAGAGTGTGACTTTGGGAGTAGATTTCAGCATCTGCCGTGGTTGTAGAGACTGATAAGGGACAGACATGAGACATGGGAAACCGGGATTTGAATCCCCACTCTGCCATGAAGCTTACTGGTCAGGACTGCCTTTCATCCTAACTTACCCAACGGGACTGTCGTGAGGACAAATGGGGAGAGGAGAAGGTCATGCAGCACCTTGAGCTCCTTTGGAGGAAAAGGTTGCATATTAGTATTAGTATTTATTTATTCCATTTATTCCATTTATTCCTTTATCATAAAAACCCAGGGTGGTGTACAACATTTTTAAAAATTACATATTTTTCAGTGATAGAAACACAATAGTTCAGGATACAATTGTATGGGGAGACCAGGAATAATGAGACCTGGGAAACCAGGATTTGAATGCCCACACTGCCATGAAATAATAAAAAAGCATACTAACAGACAGCCTAATAATAAAACAATCATAATAACAGTCCTCTCCCCCACACTTTTACAGGCTATAGATTACTTTATAGCCTGGGGAAAGAGGAATGGTTTTGCCCGATGCCTAAAGGCATGTAATGATGGCGCTAGGGAAGCCTCTCTGGGATGAACATTCCATAATTGGGAGCCACCACAGAAAAGGCCCCTTCTCTTTTTGCAATCCTTCTCACCTCTCTGGGCCATTGTGGAGGGCCTCACATGACAAGCACGGGGTATGGTGGGTTCCTAAGGGGAGAGGCAATCCTTAAGGTATTGGATCCTCAGCCATGTAAAGCTTTATAGGTCAACACCAGCACTTCGATTTGGACTACTAATCACCAGCCAGTGCAGTTGTGCCCTGATTGGTGGTACATGCGCAAACCAGCTTGTTCTGGTGATCAATCTGCCCATTGCATTTCTGCCAGCTAAAGTTTCCTGCTCCTCAATGAGACCAAGACCTAGGCATTTTTGCTCCTTCGTTTCCCCCTTATCTAGACTTGCTTCTGTTCTGTGATGTAGGCCTTTGCTGTATCCATAGTGAAGCCCAGACCGACCGATTATTTTATTGGAATTAACATGGTAGGCTCAGATTGGCGCTGCTATCAAAAGGGCTTTCGCCTGGATAAACTGTAAGTCCAAACTCCTCCTCATCTGGGAACTTTCATAACTAATAAGTATTTGAAGAGAGCCAAGATGTTTCTGTGTTTATATTGTTCTTTATGATGGTTTAATTTATAGACCAAATCGTTTCCAGAGAGCTTCAAAGTGGTTTACACATGGTTAAAATAGAAGAGAACAAAATCCACAGCCAGGAAAGGTGTGGCCCAGCTGCAACACAACAACCCTGGAGGGCAACCAGTGGGATTCACTCTCTGGTCATTGCTGCCACCACCCTTCCACTTCCTCCAGCACTCCAGAGGGAAGGGACCTGGGGTGCACCAAAGCAATTGCTTTTCAAGCTTCTCAGATGCTTTACCAGGCATGTCCAAAGTCAGGCCCAGGGGCCTAATCCAGCCCGCCGGTTAATTTAATATGGCCCATGCAGCAGTTTATTTTCTGGGGTAAAATCCTTAAAAAAGGTAAACAACTTCAATCCCCCCCCCAAAAAAAGACAACAACTTTGGTCGGTCCTCACGCACGTTCACTTCATAAAATCTGGCCCTCTGAAAAATGTTTGGACACCCCTGCTTCAATCAGAGTGCAAAGGCAGCCCACACTCTGAGTGTTGGGAATCCTGGAAGCCAAGACCCAAGTGTGGGGTGAGTACTCTTTGATGAGAGAACCCCAGCAGAGATTTAAGATAGCAAAACATGCAGCAAATAAAGGTATGGAAATGTCGGCTGTAAACCCTTAAAAATGTCCTCTTTCCAGTGTACTCCAAAGTATCCCACTTTCAAAGGTTCTTCCCAATGTCGGCTGTAAACCCTTAAAAATGTCCTCTTTCCAGTGTACTCCAAAGTATCCCACTTTCAAAGGTTCTTCCCAATGTCGGCTGTAAACCCTTAAAAAATGTCCTCTTTCCAGTGTACTCCAGAGTATCCCACTTTCAAAGGTTCTTCCCAACTTCCCTAGCACAAACATAGAGCACACATTTAGTAAGTCATAAAATGTCTTTCTGCTTTCAAATCAGATGCTCTGCTACTGAGCTGTGGCACTTGCCAATGGTAGACACCCCTCCCACAACCCCTGTTCCCTCTCTGTCTTCTCCTGCTTTGTTCTCTGAATGGACAAAAGATAAAGACTGGAAAATGCTACTAACAAATTGCCTGGTGGACCTGATTAGGACCATCCTCTTGCAAAAGGAGTGTATTAGGATTGCCCTCTCTGTAAGCTCTGTGTGCTGGGCCCGGGGATAACCCGAGCAACGTGGTCCAGGTCCAGTCCCGAATCAGTCTGACAGGCCAAGGCAGGACATGAGGCAGGAAACCAGGCAAGGTCAGGCTCAGGGTCTCAGGCAGGTTCTAGCAGACAGCAAAGTTGCTCCCACAACCTGGGGTGGGGTCTGACAGCCTTTTTTCTTTATCAGGGTAATAGCCAGTCCTGATCCCCCGGTGACTCACCTCCCTGTCTCGCCCAAAGGCAAGCACTCCTCCCGCGAGTACTCAGGTCTCTCCTTCTCTCAGACCTGAGTCTCTGCATCTCGGGAGATGTCGGTGGGTTAATGGACCCAGAGGCCACCTCAGCCTCTCCTGACCCAACTGGTAGTGGAGCAGCTGTGAGTGATGGCCCAGCTGAAGGCAAGCAGGTCATCCCCGCATCTGGAGCCAGGGCAGGCTCAGGCCCCTGACTCGGCCCACCTGGTGCTTGTTGCAGGGGAACCTGTGCAGACTGGGGCTCTTCAGGATCAGGCCCCAGACTAGGTTCAGATGCCGCCTGAGGCAAAGGATCCGGTGCGGATTGAGACTCCTCTGGTTCCGAGTCCAAGCCCGGGTCCCAGGCCATCACACCGTGCAACTTTGTCACAGGTGAGGCACTGCCTTGGAAAGGAGGTTTAGCCTGTATTTTTTCACTGGCCTGCAATCTTCCCTTCAACACTCCAAATAATCAAAATCCTACCATTTATTAATTTATAGGGTTTGCCTGCAAGAATATTTCCCCCCTTATTTTCCTGAGGAAAGCACAATAAGTGCTGGCTGGATGTACGTGTTTCTGCAGGCTAGCACATGATTTGCCTTCCAATCAGACACTAATAATAATAATACCCCACCCATCTGCTAGTTTCCCCCAACCCCTCTGGGCAGCTCACAGCATATATCAAAACATAAAAAAGCAATCATTAAAAACTTCTTGATACAGGGAATAAAATGAGACTCATCTGGTGTTGGTGGTAGAGCAGAAAGTGTGTAAGCTCTGACTACAGGGTAGGGCGGAGAGGCAGGGGAGTCTGCTAGACCAAAAGAGAATTCTTCTCTGAATGTTACTCCTCTGGGTTACTGCAAAAATAATGAATAAGTGTGTGGAGGATAGGCAAGTATTTGATTCTAAGAGGTACACAATAAAATAAGTATTCAGACTGAGTAGTTTCTCCTCTCCTTTTCAGCTACTGGGATTCTAATCGTCCAAGAAATAAAGGTCCTGCAAAACCAGATTCGAACAACTGTGTCATCATCACAAGGGGCTGTGAAAATATTTATTCGTGTTGGCATGATGTTTTGTGCCAAGGCCTAAAACGGTGCGTCTGCAAAAGGAAACCTATTAAAAAGTGGATGAAATAATTGATAATCTGCACTCTACACCACCTTGTCAATCCTGCTATTCCGAGGCTGGAAAAGAGCCATTGTTTTACACCTGCAAAGGCTTAGTTGGGCAGTGAAATAAAGTGTGGAAGAATTCAGTCTGTGTACGTTTCAATAGATTAACTGTGTGTATCTACCTAGCAATGTTAGAACAGATAGATCTGGTTTCTAGTTTGTCCTTTTGATTACTGATATCTTGCAAGGTCTGCAAAGGACTCCTGTGATATTAGATCAAAGTTTATCTAACAGGATCACAGCCTTCTCTTTCCTGAAGCTTTTAGGGTAGAAATTGTTTATTCAATTCTCTCCAGACTAGGCACTGTTTTCCTTTCGTGTAAAGACAGAGTCACATGAGGTTGCATGCTAGAATAGTGTGGCAGGAGAGGGTGGAAAGTGTCGCAAGAAGATTCAAGGACAATCAAAGAAACATTTCAGCATTTGAGTGTAGTATAGTCAAGTATTGTATCGTATTCACCTTTCCAGTGTATTCTAGCTGATTTCATGCATATATCCTTTTCCTGCTGACACTACTGCAGTGATATTACAACAGGTGTCAAGGATCCAGGGGACAGAAGTTGAACTTTTGTCATTGTTACGGAAGGGGGGGGCATGTCTTCTTCACCTTCTTCTTCGCTACAATATATCCATTTATTCCCAATTGTCAATGTCAAAAGGGACTAAAATCTATAAAATCCATAGAAAATCAACGTGCCAATTTGCTCAATTTCTCTAGGACTCCATGACACCTCCCCTGTCCTCCATAATCCCTCAAGTAAGGTGTCAAGACCCTAATCCTGTCAAATCACTCTGCCAAGCCTTTCCTCCGGGCAATGCCAGGTGGCAGACTATGCATACATGGACCATTGTCGTCCCATCACCGGCACTCAGGAAGTGCTTATCTGCGCATAACTCCAGCTCTGCATATTCCCCCCTCCCTCCTCCATATGTTAATCCGGTGTAACCCAACCTCTCCTTAATGTATTCATGATGTAATCTGTGTAACCCAACCTTTCCTTAATGTATTCATGATGTAACTGGGATGTATTTTGCACTGTATTCTGGGACTTGGAGGGAGTTTCAAAAGTTCATGTCACCCCTTTCTCGCTGTTCAATCTCGTCTTGAACCTGTTGAGCAATAAACTTGGATTATCTGCAGTTTGCTCCTGTGCCCGGCTGAGCTCATTTTCTTCCGCAGGGACCCACAGACTTACTTGGTCCGACGAGTTGGGTGGCAGAGTAGCCCCACACCCAGATTTTAGCCATCACAGTTGGCGCCCAACATGGGGCATGCGGTTCTCCCGCGTTGCTGACTGGGGCCCCCGAAATCTTCAGCCAGCACCGGGCCATTTTGCCTGGGAAGATCCTTTGGACCCCCGGCCATCTTCCGGGCGGTAATCGAAAGCCCCAGGAGTTCAGCTGGGGAGCAAAGAGGGATCCAGCCGGCTTATTCATCAATCCCGGGATCATCATAGAAGACACGTGGGTATAAGGAAAAGGAAAAATCCAGTGCACTGGTGGGAAGGGGGTGGAATCTCCTGGCAACCGAATTCTCTGCCCTCCTCTCTATCGCTCCTTCTCGCCTGTCTCTTGGTCCAAGTGGTGAGAGAGACCGTGGACTGCTGCTCGACCCAAAAGGGGGGTTCTGAGCTCTATCTCTTTCTCCTCTCACACCCTCCAGTCAGCCGCACCAATTGAGAGTCCAAAAGTAAGACGGAGAGACCCGGCTTGGAAAGACAGCCGACTCTCCGCAATGGGCATCTCAGTTGAAAGCAAGGGGCTGGAGTTCTTCTTCCAAACTTCCCGAGCGCCCTTACGGAGGGGGCAGGAAGGGGTCTTGCTTTCTATCAATTAATCCCAGCTGCACCGGTCGGGCCACGTAACACGTGTATCGTGCGTGAGCCCGCTTCCGAAAGCAAGGGGGATTTTCGATTCAAAATTCTATCCAGGGATCACCCGATCTGGCACCGCACGGTGCGGGCGTCCAGTAGGGCCCCTTTTCCTGAGATTGTGACGATAGGTAGGAGGTTGCCAGGAGGGATAGCCCATGAGGAATTGGGCGGGACAGGCAGAGTGGAAAAGGACCCCAGGTTATTAAATAGGAAATAGGAAAGGAATAGAAAAAGGAACCGAGTGGGTGAAGCTCGTTAAATTGTTAGGAAGTTGCCAAGCAACAAGGAAAAGGAAAAACCCTAAATAGCCCCCTGTACAAGTTACCCAAATCCAAATCAACCCCTCTCTTTCTCCCTTCTCTATCCCAGAAAAAAGAAAAAAATAACAACAAAAAAAGCAACAACAACAACAACGCATGCATATATAAAGGGGTACCCAGTCAACTAAGCATTGTGAGCCCTGCCAGTTTGGTTAACTGGTGGTGTTCGAAGAGCCAAGGAGGCTCATAAAACCATGTGGGACCTTCCTACTAATTTCACTTAATGAAGCCAAAGGAAGCGTCCCAACTCCTTGCAATAACCAACTAAAGGATGAGAATATGTATGTTTACATGTTGTCTGTTATGTGTGTTGTCTGTTCCTTCTGTCTCTGACAGACTGCCTTTCTTAAGTGTGCATAGTTTAAACTGCAAGGTTGCTTCAAAATTTTAAATCTAAGGAAGCCATACTGGACCTTATCAGTCCTAAATAAGACAAAATGAGAATGAAGGGTGCAAATGTTTACCCCACCTCTTGCTTTGCCGCAACTTTTGAGATTGTGAGTCTACAGTCTATTTTGGAATGTGAAGTTAACCTAATGTTTCTGCTGCAAAAGCGTAGTTGAGCACAACTGCTCTCTCAAGCTAAAATGCAGTGTCTGTATTTCATTAAGCACATGCCTATGAAAATAGGTGTTCTTTCTAAGAAAATTGTTAATAAAAGGTAGAATAATAAAATAATAATAATAATAAATTTTATTTATATCCCGCCCTCCCCAGCCAAAGCCGGGCTCAGGGCGGCTAACAACAATCAAATAATCAAACAGTCAAATAATCACACATTCTAAAAATATTTCATTATAAAAATTAATTAAAATCAAATTGATGGCAACCGATTAGGCAAAATTCTGTGCAGGTTGCCAGAGGAGGGAGTCAGGCTGCGCCCTGACCAAAGGCCTGGTGGAACAACTCTGTCTTGCAGGCCCTGCGGAAAGATGTCAGGTCCCGCAGGGCCCTAGTCTCTTGTGACAGAGCATTCCACCAGATTGGAGCCACAGCCGAGATGGCCCTGGCTCTAGAAGCTTCGATAGGCGACAATTGTCTATCTATAGAGTCCAGTCCTGATATCAGTCTCTAAGATCAGCCAGGGTTTCCTGGCTTCTTATTGGAAAATGCCTCCCCCACTTGTTTCCGTCTCTTTCAGGTCCCCCCTCCCCTTCTTACTTCCGTGCCAAGTGAATTTACTCCCGAGTAAGCTTCCTTCAAAAAGGGGGGGCACATTCTTTGCTAAAAGTACCCGACATCTCACTTTCCTATGTATCGTTATTTAAAAATCTTAGTTAGGCGTACTATTGCTATGCAAGTTCAGAAACATTATTAACTTTTGTATCCCATTTAAATCAAATCCAGGACTGGTTTTATTATTTGAGTGGTTATATCAACTGAAATAACCCTATGCTTATAAAATATTCTCTCCCAGATTCTCTTCCTATCTTACCTTAGGAAAACTGTTCTTCCTTTAAGATCATTTCTCTAGGAACTTGCACTCTTAGTCTAAGGAAGTAAACTCTCACTCAAACTAGCTTCAAGATCTGCTAAAAAGGTTCTGTATAAAGCTGGGTACTTTTATTTTCCTCTTCCTTAGTACATGATAGGAGCATTGATTGCGCTCTCTTCCCCAGTAGTGCCTGTGTACATAAGTATGTGTGTGTCTCTTTGGTAGTACAAATCTTGCTGTGAAATCTTGCTGTGAACCCTATATTTTGGAGGGTTGGACTAGATGACCCCAGGGTCCCTTTCAACTCTCCCAATTTGTGGCTGTGTGGAAGGACATGTGTCCGCAAGCATTGGAGGGTAATTCTTAAATTCTGGTGTGGTGATGGAGTTTATTTTTTTTTATAATATTTTTTATTGCGCTTCTTTTCATAGTTTTATACATTCCAAGAAGTACAGAAAAAGACAATACAAGAAACAGATTTTTTTTGACAAAAAACATTACCAAAAAAAATTATAAGTATGTAATAGTTCCACTTTCCATAAATTCCTGTTGGACTTCCCCACACCTTCCAGATCTGCGTTCTTTATATTAACAATGTCAGCAAATTGTTACCTTCTTTCACACCTTATTGTAACTTTCAATTATTATGTCTCCAAATTCAATATATTGTAACTCAGTTATAATACCTTTAAAATAAACATAATATGTTTGATTCACATTGTCTCCTTTTCTCCTTTATCACTTATTTTACCGTTTACTTAAACATATTGCAAAAGCATAGCATTTCCTAATCGTGCACTATCTTAAGATTCATACAACTTATAATATTTTTGCAAGTAATCTTTAATTTTTTTCCAGTCCACCTCGATTGTTTCTTCGTCCAAATCTCGGATTCTGCCAGTCATTTCAGCTAATTCCATGTAGTCCATCAACTGCGTCTGCCATTCCTCCAGCGTGGGTAAATCTTGTGTCTGTGGTGATGGAGTTTAAATTCAGCCTAGCTTTGCTCTTTAGTTTTAAAAGGTGAGAGGTGAAGCTGTGATGTTTTGAAGCACAACTGGTAATATCAAGCATTTGAGTGATTACAGTGTTTGTCATTTTGTCTACTATTTAAAAATCAGACTTCAAAGTCAATTCAAAGTTTAAGCACACACAAATACATATGGGCCAAATTTTTGTCTGCAAATGGTAAGGCTGAAATGACTGAGAATATTTTTTTTAAAAAAATCCTATGAATTCTGACTCTCTGGCCATTTTCCCCATATATAAGGGCATGGCATTGTTCCGCGAATGGTCAGAGGGATATTAGCCCTTTCCTGTAATGGTCAGAGGGATATTAGCCCTTTCCTGTACATAAAGGAAGCAGTCCCCTTTGCTTGGGCTACAATTGCTGACTTTGGTGAATACTTTAATTGCTGAGTTTCTCTTTTTTGTTTTAAAATCTAACCCTATTTTTAAAATCTATTCCTTACCCTTCCCTTCCCTTATTCAAATGGTAATTTAGCCAAAAGATTCAACATTTTCAATAGTATAAAAGGTTTGCTGAGACATGAACTCTGCATATGCACAGAGGCTAGATCAGCTAAAAAGGGGGGAAAGGAAAAGAAAAGAGAGAGAGAGGAAGGAGGGGGGAGAGAAGGTTTGGAGAGCTTGGGCTGCAGGGAGAAACTTATCCAAATTTCCTTATGTAAAACTTGGAACCATTGAGGGAAATCACCCTTAATGTGTCCCAAGTTTCAAATCTTAACATGCCAAATTCTTTTCACAGGTAAATATCAAAGCATTCCCCCCCTCAATGGGATTTAAATCACAGACTTTGTTTGTGTGCATTTTAGGAACAGCATTTCCTGACAGGCTTCTCACATGAAATAATTTTCCCTTTTAACAGGATATGTGAACCCCGATAACAAAGTGTTTGTCCCTTCCTTTCTCCCACAGCAACTTTCTTTCT